AATAAATAATTATTTATTTATTTTCTTTTTTTTTTAAATTTATTAAAATTAATAATTAAAAAATATAATTCAATTTTACGTTGATATCTCCGTTAATTTTTTTTAATTCAATTATGTTGATAGATCTGCCTTATGAATGTACGATGCATAAACCCTTCACTGTATTTGCGCGTACAAATGTCTGCAAATAGCAAATGATCACATACCCCAAAAATTATTAATCGAATTATACAAAGCTTGGGAATTTTCATCACAAAACATATATACTCCATATGCTAATATAATTAAAATAATTAAGTTGGTATTAGGAGTTTTAAAATATTAATTAAATAAATTAAAAAATATAATAGGTAAATTCTTTATCTCACATTTAAATATATTAATTTTTTCTATAAATTAAGAGGTAAATATCGTATTTAAATTATTTAATTTTTAAAAAAAATCCAAACTTAAAAAAAAAATTTATAAATTTCACCTTCTAAAAAATAACTATTTGAATTAAATCTACGTTCATCCAATTCTGTTTTACATTTTACTTAAAAATAAAATATTTTAAAATTTTAAAAATAATTTTTCATTTTCTACCCATCTCTTTTTCTTTTTCACACTTGCTTTCTAGAAAAGGAAATTAAAAAAAAAAGGAGTCGAAGAGAAAGGCGCGTGGGAAGAGAAACATCCCGTCGGTCGCTAGCAGCCCAGTACGGTGAAGTTCATGTACAAGATAAGCCCACCACGCCAGTTATCAACCATAAACACGTGGCCCCTATTCATTTCTCTTCATATTTTTTTCAAAAAAAAATATTTGCAGTTAATTTCCTTTTCCATGAAAGCACTGAGCTTGTCATTCTCATTTTGCAGCATTTCAAAGTTTCTATTTTCATCTTCACATTTCACATTTCAACTTTGAAAAGCTATTTAAATCCTAAAAACCCTTGACCCATGCCCCATCCAAAATTATCCCAAAATTTAAGGAATTAAAAAATCTTATATAAAGTAATTTATTTTCGACTGCTACTTAAAGGATGTGGTATTTAGAACATTTTATTTCATTAAACTTTTTGCATAATTCCTTAATCTAAAGATAATAATAAGATTAAAAAAATACAAATAAGATTTTAAGTATAAATAATCATACTTAAACTCCGCCTAAAGATTTGAAAATCTGAATAGTCTTTTTATGTTTAAGGATCAGATTTCAAAATTGTATCTCATCATCATGCGTGACATGCATTTCCATACATTTATCTTTAAATTATTGTTTGCATTCATTTTACATGTTTATATTTTTTAATTATTATTATTTATTTGTTAATTGCAGTATTATTATTTTATGAATAAATTTTTTTATGGAAATCGTTATTAAAAAATATGGAATTTGAAATAAAACCAAAATAACATTTCGAGAGAAATAATTCTTGGTAATAGATGTTGGAGAGTCACCAACAATTATCATCTACAAAGAATGCTATTTCTATTTTCAAAGAAAATCGTAGTGAATCTTAGGTGAAAAGAGTTATTTTTAAATTCTACCTAGTGTTGGAGAATTTGAAGATAATTTTTTAACTTAAGATATCTACAATACTCCTAAATAAAAATTTGTAATAAAACTTATTATTTTTTTAAAGTGAAGAGAATTATTATTAAATTTTAAATTAAAATTATGTTTATTCAACATTAAAGATAATATATTATTAATTGGTACCTTTTTTTAAAACAAACATTGTAAAATTACTAAATCTTTCTTATATGTAATCGTATTCTCGAACTTAACTTTATTTTTAAAAATAAAAAATATCTTTTTGATAAATCATAAATACATTTTTTTTTGGTTTTATAAATAAGATAAACAATTTATATGACTAATCACTCTTAATAAAAAAATAAAAATTATTTTTTTATTTTAAAAAATTTTATGTCTAACGGTTGAGTTCATGGACTCGTATGTTATAACACACAAGTTAATGGGCTGTGGATTTTGGAAATACAGGGATAATGACAATAACCCAATCTAGAAACGAGTGTGGCACATGTCGACACCAAGCAAAATAAAGACTTTTATCTGGAGTGTGGCATGAAGCCTACCAGTTTATGTAATGTTGCAAAAGGAAAAGGATTATGGATCAGTCATGATGCCCAAGGTGCAACAAGGACGATGAATCGGTTCTGCATGCTATTGGAGACTATATGCATGCAATGCAAGTCTGGGGACTTGCAAGACCCACGGGGGACTGCCAGCACATCAGGTGACAGACACAAAACAATGGCTATCCAGGGCGGCTGGAAGTTTGAACAAGGAAGATTTCAGAAAATTTGCATTGTTGTGCTGGGCAACTTGTGGAGCCAGGAATGACACAGTAAAAAACAAGGTGATCAAAACTCCTCGAGAGACAGTAAGTTTTATGCAACAGTACTGGGAGGAATATCAAAGTGTGCAGACCCCCGACGAGGTGACAAAGACAAGTACAACAGAGAGCTGGCAAGCTCCAACAGTGGGTTGGGTGAAAATAAATTTCAGTGGGGCTCTTGACAAAGAAGAGAACCGAGCAGGGTTGCAGTCATTGTGAGAAATAGTATGGGAGAGGTTCTGGGATCCTTACGTATGGCTGTAAACGGAATTGGAGACTCAGAAATAATTGAAGGAATGGCTGCGGCAAGGGCAACTAGGTTTGCATGGAGCATGGGTTTTCAGAAAATAATACTGGAGGAAGATGCACTCACAATTATCCCACAGATCTCGTAGAGTAACGAAGCCAACCTCTTAGCAATAGGGACTCTGATAGAAGATACAAGAGTGGAACTAATAAAGCTGGCAGACTGGAAGAACTCCCATACTCATCGTGAGGCAAACCGGGGCGGTTCATAGACTAGCAGGATTGGCTTTGGCTAGTAATGAAGATATTGTTTGGCATGGTGGCTATCCACAATTAGGGGTGTAAATGATATATTAATACTCACAAGTTACTCGGATTCGATTCGAAAAAAATTCGAATTCGGTTCGATTATTGTCGAGTCGAGCTCGAGCTCAAGTAGCTCGATTTATCGATTAAGCCGAATTCGAGTATTCTTATATCTGACTCGAGTAGCTCGCGAGTCTAATCGAACTTTTATATTTAAATATATTTTTATTATTTTAATTAATAAAATATTTCGAGTCCGAGTTCGAGTTCGAATTCGAGTATGAATAATCGAACTCTTGTCAAGTATACGAATTGAGCTTATTTTTACATATTAATCAAGCGAGCTCGAGTAGCTCGAATTCGATCACGAATCAAGCTCAAACTTGAAAAATAAAACTCGATTGAGTTCGAACCGAATATCGAACCCCGAATTGTGAGTCGAGCTCGAGCTTCTCACTATTCGACTCGTTTACACCCTATCCACAATGAAATTCAAGATATTGAAACCTAGGAACTCTTTATTCAATTCACATTTTGTTTTTTTAAAAAATAATAATAATAAAATATATCATTTTATTAATTAATAAATATTAATTTTTAAAATAAATATATAAAATATTAATTTTTTAAAAAAATTATTTATTAATGAAATAATATTATCTTATTAATTTTATCAATAAAATTTTATCATTTGATTTATTAATAAATATAAAATTAATACACTAATAATTCATAAAATACAAACCATTTCTTTTTTTTTTTTTTTAATATATGTTTATTGACACATCATGTTGAAATCATTTTTTTATGGTGATAAAAATAAATTTATATAAATAGTGACCAATATTTTTTAGGAGGGATTAATTTATGCAAAAAAAATTTATATTTTTAATTATTAATTTTAATAAAAATAAAAATAAAATTAAATCATTATTTATTTATTTTATTTTCTTTTAAATTTATTAAAATTAATAATTAAAAAATATAATTCAATTTTACGTTGATATCTCCGTTAATTTTTTTTAATTCAATTATGTTGATGATCTGCCTTATGAATGTACGATGCATAAACCCTTCACTGTATTTGCGCGTACAAATGTCTGCGAATAGCAAATGATCACATACCCCAAAAATTGTTAATCGAATTATGTAAAGCTTGGGAATTTTCATCACAAAAAATATATACTCCATATGTTAATATAATTGAAATAATTAAGTTGGTATTAGGAGTTTTAAAATATGAATTAAATAAATTAAAAAATATAATAGGTAAATTTTTTACCTCACATTTAAATACATTAATTTTTTCTATAAATTAAGAGGTAAGTCTCGTATTTAAATTATTTAATTTTTTTAAAAAATCTAAACTTAAAAAAAAATAATAAATTTCACCTTCTAAAAAATAACTATTTGAATTAAGTGTACGTTCATCCAATTCTGTTTTACATTTTACTTAAAAAAATAAATTATTTTAAAATTTTAAAAATAATTTTCCATTTTCCACCCATCTCTTTTTCTTTTTCACACTTGCTTTCTAGAAAAGGAAATTAAAAAAAAAGGAGTCGAAGAGAAAGGCGCGTGGGAAGAGAAACATCCCGTCGGTCACTAGCAGCCCAGTACGGTGAAGTTCATGTACAATTTGAGCCCACCACGCCAGTTGTCAACTATAAACACGTGGCCCCTATTCATTTCTCTTTATATTTTTTCAAAAAAAAATATTTGCAGTTAATTTCCTTTTCCATGAAAGCACTGAGCTTGTGATTCTCATTTTGCAGCATTTCAAAGTTTCTATTTGCATCTTCCTTTTCTCTTTAAAAAAAAAAAGCTTCGAATAACCAAACAAGCAGAATCTCTTTCTTTTTCATTTCTGATTTCTGGGTTTTACTTCTTTCCCTTGTAGTATGTTATCAATAGTAGTTTTTTTTTTCTTTTTGTTTTTTTCATTTGTTGGGAGTGTGTTTTTAGTGTTTTTTACATGAACAATAATAATGTAAGCATATAAACATCGTGTTTTTGTACTGAAAAATACATACAACAAATTGGTCGTTACTCTCTTTTAATACGTTGCTGTTTTTTTTTTTTTCTTCTCTTCATTAATGTACAATGTCACATCTCAAAGTGAAGAAACCAGAAGAAAAAAACCATGGGTTCAAATGGGGTATTGAGAAAGGGGTTGGAGGGAAAAACAGGGACATTATTTTCTACGAGTCATTTACATATGAAGGTGAGGAGTATCTTGTTCATGATTGTGTTTACTTTGATCTTGGACAACCCGAAGCTTTCATTGGCAAGCTAGTGAAGATGTTTGAGGGTCCAACCCATGTTAAGAAAGTGAAAGTTGTTTGGTTTATGCGTCCGAGTGAAATTAGAAACTATTTGGGAGATTATGAGCCGCGTTGGAATGAGATTTTCTTGGCTTCAGGTCGAGGGCGTGGCGTTTCCAATATCAATCTTGTGGTAAATTTTCTCATCAGTTGTTATTTGATGTTTTATTCTCACCCTTTTCTTTGTTTTTACTTATTTATTTACTATTTTTTTTTTACCATCTGAAATGAACATGTGAAAAGAAAGTTGAAAATGTGAATATGATTTTATATAAGCTTAAAAACACTGCATAATAGGTGATGAAACAAGGCAACCGACTAAAGATTGTTTCAGCAAAATGGTTGTTATGGTGCTTTTCTGCAATATTTGTGTTGTTCATGGTGATTTAATATTGGCTCTATATTTGGAAAACCTTTTCAAATTGTAAAAGCTAGATGATTGGTTATAGTGATATATGATCTTCATGTTTTACTCATTTAGGAATCAATTGTTGGAAAATGCAATGTTGTCTGCACATCAAATGATCGTAGAAATCCACAAGCATCTGAAGCAGACTTGAGATGGGCTGATTACTTCTTCTGCTGCCATTTTGATGTTAGAGAGCTTGCAATATTGGATGTTTTTCCAGATATGGTGGATGGAGTTAAAGGTTAGATGTCTACCTAAAATTTTAAATTGGGACAAATACTAGCTATGGCTTTAAAGCTTTTTTGGATGCATGCAGTGGAGCACTTCTTCAACAAGAAAAAAGAACAAAAGCCTCTAGGCCCTCCTAATCTCAAATCAAATGTTAAGGAGCAAATTGGGATACCAAATTTATCTTCCACCAAGTTAAAAGTAGTGAAAGCAATTGGAAATACTGTAAAAGATGACAATTCTTGTAGTAGAGTAAGCTCATTGGTGAAAGGTGATTTCTATGTGTTCTGTTCTTCCATAATGTACTTATAAACTCAAATGATTAGATGAAATTAGATTGGTCCTGGCACATGCAGAATCAAAGATAGCTCCTGTTATTATGAGCAAGAAATTGCATCTTCCAAGTGAGAATACCCTTCCAGGGCCTAAGACATCTGTTCCTAACAGTAGAAATCAGCATTGTCGAAGTTCACACTGCCAAGTTCAAGATGAAGTTGATAAAGCTGAAGTGAAATTCACTAAAGATTCACTTACTAGCTCAGCTGAGATCCAGCCTTATAAAAAGAGGAAACTTTTTCTGGATGAGAGGACAAGTGGCAAATTTGATAATCTAGATCATCAACTAGGACAGGATAGGGGCATAAACATTGATAATCAACTTGTACAGGTTTTAGGAAGAACGGATGCAGTAAGTTTTGAGTGTTTAACTGCAACTATTTAGTATGAGATATCTATGAAGGCTTGTGTTTGGATAAATTTGACATGTCGCTTATGACTTTGGAAACCCTTCTAATATCTTCTATTTTGATCCTTGCAGCATAGAAGAAATTGGTTCTATCGACTAGTGAGTTTCACCCTTTCTTCATCACCTTTTTCACATTATTTGCAATCTAGTTGCAAGTTAACATCTAGTTGCTTCAGCCTTTTTCCTTATCACCATTTCACCAAAATGTGCCCCCACATAGTTCGTAGCAGATCTTTTACCATTGAATAATCTCTTGTAAATATTGTCCATGTTGTTTGGTTTCCTTCTTTTTTTGGTGTTTCACCTTCTTTTGTTATATATCAACTTCATTACATGCAGTATGTAGCTTAAGACTAATTTGGAAACTTGAAAATTAGTCATTTTAGTAGATGGATGGTTGATAATATCATCTCTTGACCAGTTTATCTATTATTTTCTAAATATCGTTGTTACCGTTATTTATTGTCAGCCTTGGGGACAAAGACTTGAGAGAGCTCAAGAAGCAGGTAGTCTAATCTCACTTGATAATCTGGATGCATCCTACACATCAGCAGAAGTAGAGGTTTGTGATATTGTTTTGGTTAATAACTCTTATCCCAAAAAAGTAGCTTTGGGGCCTAAAAAACTGTACCATGTTCCTGTTGTTTTTCTTGTTTGTTGAATGTGGAAGAGCCCAATTCCTTCAGATATGTACTTGATGGAAGTCTGAAGTCATGATTTGCAGGCTGTAATTCTTCTTCAGAATTTGACATGTCATATGCTTCTTTCAGTGTTCCTTTAGGCAGATCATGTACTGTTTCTCTTTTCAATGTTTTGACCTTTTTCTTGGAATTGGTAGGGTTGGATAGCTTAAGTTAGAAAATGATTCTCCAGCATGTTACCTTTGTTGCGTCTTTCTTACCTATGTGGCTTCCAGTAGAGATATATGGTTTTTTAGTCTAGACCATCAATTTTTTGCGTTCATGCCTTGGTTTCACAGACTTTTGTAACTATTTTTGAGATAAAAATTTTAAAATGTTGGATGGGAGTTGTTAAGTTGCACATACAGATTGCTATTGTGCTTGGAAATGCTAAGGATTCCATAATGTAGAGGAGAGACCTTTTTTATGTTACCTGGCCTCAAATATTCTTTATTAGTTTTATTCATTAGTCTATTTAAAATTTCCTTGTCAGGATCTTGTTTGGCATGCATTTAAAGAGAAAGTTGAAGCAAAAATGATAGAACAGAGTACCTTTTCTTGCCCATGCTATGGTAAATCACCTCCTTGTGGCTTTTGGCTTTTGTGCACACAGTAACTTTATCTAACAACCGCATGAATTCTTTGGTGATTGTTCTTTGAGTTATCTTTTGTGCAACTTCAAGCCTGAAAATGTGAGTACAGCATCCTCTATGTTTTCGCAGGTAAGGCTCTTATTATATTCAAGTCAAAAGAAGCAGCTGACTCAGCAATTTACCAGTTAACACAGAGATGCTTGATGCTAGCAGATGGGAGGCATGTTATAAGTTTCCCTTATTAGATTGTTTTCCTTGTTTTCGGTATGCAAAACATTACAATATTCTTGTTTTTGGATTTTCTTAAGCTCTATTTCCATGAAATCAGCAGCTATAATCTAATTGTTAGAATTTCGGGCAATAGATTGAATCCAGGGTAATTGTGTTTTTAATCATTTTTATTAATTTTGAGAGAGAAATCATTTTGATGTTAAAAAAATGAAGTAGGTGAGATTTACTGGTTGATTTGTGACTTTTTTTTTTTTTTAACTCACAAACAGCATCACTTCTTGATGAGAAGGTCCATTTGTTTTTTCCTTTTGAAGGTTGCTAAGATTCCTTGTAGTTTTGCCAGAGGAAAGAAAGTTATTGATCAACTCATATAACTTTTTTGGTTTTGTCTACATTTGAACTTCTTTGGATCAATCAAATCATTTAAAGTTATTTATAGATAGTTATCAAGTACTTGTCATAACATTTAAAGCATATTGAATGATGTTAGTCATCACCCTCACCCTGAAGCCGGTTGATTCCCCCAAAAGGGAAGGGATTTCTGGAATTAATGCTTTATCCAATCACCTTTTATAGGCTCCATCACTTTTTTTTTTAGTAAATAAAACTTATTAGCAATTGTTAACCTGTTTTACTGTTACTTAAATATAAACTGATATAGACCTTTGGAGGGTAAATATCACTCATGACCTGTGATGTGCTTGAATTTAGAAACTATCCACAATTTACATAAAATTTGAATGCTTGCTCAAAATTTGCTGTTGAAGGAATTGTTGTGGTACGGAAACCAGCCCTGTTTTACCCTTGTAAAACATAAAACTATTGCTGAATTTGCCACCACAGATTGTAAATCACCCTTTTGACACAGGGTGTATATTTACATAATGTAAATTGAATTTTTTTTTTTTGATAACTGAATTGAATTTTTTTTACAATCAAGAGAACGGTAAAAAAAATTATAGCCATGTAGGAGAGTTGGAAAACAAGGTGGATTGTTGCTTGTAGAAGAAAAAGGTAAGAATAGCAAAGAAAATGGGGAAGAGGCAGTTGTTAGGGGTTGCAAGAAGAATTTAAAATTTTATACATATGCGTATATATTTGCAAATAGCAGTAATGTTCATATTTTCATTTTTTACTAATTGTAAATTGCTTTATCTAATAAAGAGTTTAAAATACATTAAACTAAGGCTTTAGTTTGTTGACAGAAGAGGTGATTTACTAATAGCTTTCTTTTACTACTTGCAGACCTCTAATTGCTAGGAAAGAGACTTTGGTGAAGCCTGCCAAATTAGCTGCATTTGTTGGTCATCTCACCATTGACAAAGTCCAGCATCAAAGGCAGAATGAAGATATGGTAACTTTTGTATCAACTAATGCATGCTTTCTTGAAATTTGATCTGTTCTTTTTTTAATCTTACTTTTCTTTTTTATTTTAAAGGGGCTATGTGAAATGTGTTTTTTCATTGTCAGAAAAAAGCAAAGTCAACATCACATGCTTCTCAGCCTAATAGCATTGAATATGATATGGGTACGGAGTGGCGAATTCTACAACAAAAATCAGATATATGGTGGAAGACATTACATGAGGTTTTGCCTTCCTAAGTTCTTTATTTTAATCAGGCTCCATTTAATCGATGATTGTGCTATTTACTTTTGGCTCTTTATATTTCGTTGCATCCTCAGAAGTAAACTAAAGGCAAATTACAGAAAAAAAAAAGTTAAAATTTTAACTAAATATGAGTTTTTTAGAGCTAAGAAATGGGTTATGCAAGATGAAATAAGAATGTTATAAAAAAAGCAATAGAGCATATTATCTTAACCCATCTTACCTATAATGCACTGTTCTAAGCATGATCTATTTGAGTTTGGTTACATGCATGTGCTACCATATTTTCCCTTTTCAATTTTTGCTACTTTCTTTCTTTCTTGGTATTTGAGGCTGCTAGAATTTGAACTCTTGTAACTAGAATTAAGAGTCCTGCGCTCTTATTATAAGGTTACATGGTTGTTGGTCAATATTGCTACTTTCAAGGTTGTTATGTTCTCATGTTTTTGAAAACCTTTAATTTTTGTTGTTCTTTCATCTCAACAGCGACAAGCAAAGGAGATACAAATGGTTAGGAATCAGCTAAAGATGAAATGCAGTAGCTAGTTGTAATTGGAGGCATCAACTACGTTCTGGTAAAGCACTTGATCCATTTTGTTTTTTGTTTTCTTGACCACGAGGAAGAAAATTCAGACACACAATCACCACAAGTAAGATTCACCAGTCCAACAAAGAGAAGAAAAACTTAAATTCAGTTGGTTGATTTTCCTACTGATAAACTACATTTAGTTTAAATTCTGGATTGTGTAACACGAGCAGGATTCTTATCTTACAGGAAGGATTTTCCCGTTGAAGTGGATACAAGGGTATCCTCTACTTTGGAAAGCATACAGGGTCACACCCATTTTGGGGAGTCATGTAAACAATGTCAAACTAGAAATGAATCAGATTTTCCAATCTTTTTGTGTAAAATCTTTTCCTCATCCTGTTTGAGAATCCTCATTTTTGCAATTACCTGGGAAAGTAACTGGGTTTGTCAAAGTTGTACAGTAAAAATTTCTCCAGCATTTAAGCGTTGATTAGTCTTATAATTTAGGATCATATTTAGGATCTAATTTTGGAAGAAGGGGAAGGTATGTTTATCAGCAGACGTGACAATATAAAATATCATACATGACGTGACAACAAAAATTAGGGTGATATAGGTTAAAATTTTTAAAAAGTCATAGGATTTATAAAATTAAAAAATGTATTTCATATTTTTTTTATAGACAAATTATTATAACTTTTTTTTTATATAAAATATGATATAAATTATAAGTATGGATGTTTGCATTACGCAAGTAGTAGAACAAAGAACAAGTTATGAGTTATGAATTAAAATCCTGAATCTACATAATTAGCTACTGAAAAACAAGTATCCATATTGTCCAGAAAGAAGCACGTCTCCAACATTTTTCTGAGGCTTATGGAAACAGACAAAAACGAACAAAGATCAATCACATAAACTACTCCTTCGAGGATTTGTTGATAAGTGATTTATGAATGTGCGGGATAACACCACCGCCAGCTATGGTTCCCTTGATCAACGTGTCGAGTTCTTCATCACCCCGGATAGCAAGCTGCAAATGCCTAGGAGTAATACGCTTAACCTTAAGATCCTTGCTTGCATTGCCTGCAAGTTCTAGCACTTCTGCAGTCAGGTACTCCAGTATGGCAGCTGTGTACACAGCAGCTGTTGCTCCAACCCTTCCGTTTGCATTAACCCTTGTTTTCAGCAGTCGATGGACACGACCCACTGGGAACTACATTGAGAATATACAAAACAATAAGAAGATGGACACGACCCACTGGGAACTACATTGAGAATATACAAAACAATAAGAAGCAACTGATTATAATTTAGAAGAATTAACTGTTGTTCTACAGGAGTGCAAAGTAGAATAGCATAGTCAGTTTATCATGTGTCCTACAGATGATGATGCTAATATGCCTTGACCACGTATAGAACTGCAAAACAATTTAGGATGCAGAATACAGTCTTAATAGACATCCACGTCGTGTTCTTCATCAACTTGGTCATCTTCCAAATTGCAAAGATTTTACATAACAAAATTTTAATTTAAATATGTCCACAGAATGAAGCATCATGTAGGTTTAACAGGAAAAGTGCTAGCAAGTCACATGAGGATAAATTTCAATTCAACCATTAGATCTATAAAAAAAGAGAAAATAAACGGATAGTTAATAATTACAACAATTAAAAGAGATAAATACTGCTAGATATCAATTCCTTATTAAAACAACATATCCCGAAATGTTGTCATTTGACTTGGAGCAAGAGTTACTATCCAGCTCTTCTCATAGACCATATTTCTGACTCTCAACCCTCCTCCCCAAAACCTTCCCCAGCTCCTTGGAACAAGAAAATTACATACAAACCTTAGATGCTATGAAAATTAATACATTAGATGAAAAGGCAGAACCAGATTTATCAACAGGAACATATTGCCCCCACTCTACACCCCACCTTTTCCCCCTTGGTTTTTCGCCCTCATCATGGAAATAGCAATTAATAAGGCAGAATTCTAGACCATAGTTGTTCATAGAACACCTAAGTGTCCCCTTTGCAACAACTAATATCATGAAACATATAAATCCTCTGATAAATGAAAGATAACCAACAAAGAGCACAATTGTTCATATCAACAATTCAAACATCGGGAGAGACAAGGACTACCTAATGTGGCATCCCTTGCAACAAAGCTACAAGGTTCATTTATAAGGACGATTTACCATTGGAAAAAAATAAGGACAACCAATGCGAAATTGTTCATAAATACAATTTTTTTACTTTAACATAGCAAAACTTTGTTTACTTTGATTTGATGTAATAAATAGACAAATCCACTGTCACTTTAGAAACATTTTTTCAGAAAAAATTATAACTCAATAAATACGAGAATAAAATTAACCAAAAGAAATCTCATTTTCTAGATCTTAAACTATACTTTTGCCTAGAGTTAAAGAATGCTTCATAAATTAAAATTCACAAAGTGTAAATCTAATTCACGGAAACCATCACAAGAAAAGCTAATTCAAGCAGAAAATTAAGGGGAAAAACGGGGAAAACGAGAGAAAGAGAGAGAGCGACCTGGAGACCAGCGCGAGAAGAGCGAGAGATGGGTTTCTTCTTGTCCTTGTCTTTGTCCTTGGTGGATTTGCCAGCCGTAATCAACCCTTTCGCTCCTTTTCCGGACATTTTGCAGCAAATTACTTAGGGTTTCTTCTGCAGAAATGTGCTTTGCTTGGGAGCAGAGAAGACGAGAAAGAGCCTCAGGAACGAAGAAAGTAATAGGCGGACCGAACGTAAAGAAGAATCAATTCTCCAAAACGAAGACGGATACGACTTCCAGATCTTGAATTTTTATTACCGGGTTTCTTTCTTTGACGATATTACCCTCCTTATCTCTTCCAAATTACTATTTAGGATTTTTTCGTCGGAACTTGAATAGAATTAGAACCAGAGTATTGAGAAGAGCGTTGATCTCCCATTCAAAAATTAAGAAGTTAGAATCGTTACTTAATCAAATGATTCGTAAATTCCCTGTTTAATACTTACAAATTTTCTTCTTCAATTTCTCTTTTATATTAAAAAAGTCAAGAATTCTGTAATATTTTATTTGAATTGAATATAAAAATAATAAAATAATATTTTTTATTTATTTGAATTCAATTGAAAATTTTTTTATTCTAGCAAATTGGAAATATTCTAAAAAATTCAAATCGGATTAAAGATGGATTTTAAGATTTTATATCTCGATTCATTTCAAAATATATATAATACATATTTTTATTTAATTATATATATTAAAAAAATTATTATGTAATTTTTTAATTTACTATATTAATTTAATAAAAATATTAATTTATATATAATTAATACATAATTTATATTAAAAATAATATTTTTATAAATATTATATTAAATTAATTTTAAATCGTAAACTATTAAATGCAAATTATACGTATATAACATGACATATTATAGTCAAATATAAAAAATAAGAATCATTTTAAATTTATGAACCCAAATTCATTGGATTATTACTTTCTAAAATGTCCTTTATGTTCATTATTTTTCATACACCTACATCTAATAATTATTTCTTTTTATTGTTAATTGGATATAGATTTATTTAAATTGAGATTAACTGAATCGAAATAAAAGTTGAGAAATTATTTTAGAATTTTTAAATTGTTCAAGCAATGTTAATAAGATGAGATACATACTTTATGATATTTTTAAAAAATAAAAAAATTAAAAAATTATATATCAAAATTTTAATTTTATTTATATAATTAAAAAATTATATTTTTTATTACATTAGAAAAATAAAGTCTTAATATAAACAAATGAAAAGAGAGAGACCTGATTCAATGTTCTTTCGAACGCCTTTAGTCACTAAATTAAAAATTTGAAGGTAAAAAAAAATTACATTAACAATATACAAAATACTAACTTCTAAAAGATATGAACTTAATTGAATTAAATTAGAGGTTGTTTTTACCAAAATTTCATACAAGTTCAATGGGTTTCTTCAATTAATTGAATTTAAATTCCATGACTTTGTAATTTTGCCAATGGGTTGGGCAAGCTAAAATTGAAAAGAAGTGGTAAAGTTTTACATTATCCAAAAATAGCAACCCTTGTTTGCAAAACTAGCAAAATGCCAAAATCTCACACTACTATAAAAGGGGTCTCCTTCTATGTTCTTCCCTGCTCTCAAAGCCTTAATTCATCCTTTTTTCATTTTATTTTTCTTATTTCTTTACTTATTTTGCAATGAATAAAAACTTATTTTGATTCTCCATATCCAAGCATTTACATTACCTTAGCAATTTATAACATTTCCAACATAATAAAAAAACCCTACAATTAGGGTTTTCTCTCTATCCCCTTCTTTTAATTATTAACAACTAAAAAAGGACAAACATTTTTTTTTTGTTTTAAGTATTTCTAAGTATCGTAATTTCTGACAAGAACAATTGTGTTTTAGTTCTATTTTGCAATATTGATCCACTTTGTTAATATTAAGAAAAAAAGTTTGATCTTTTTTTTCCTTCATTTGGAAATATTTGATCCAAAAGGATCAAGTTTGGAATTTCTTTTATATTGTTGTTTTTTATTTACTGTTGTTATTATTGCTGTTAATTTGGAGAAATGGAGAAGAAAAAGATGGCCGTACCATTAGTGTGCCATGGACATTCAAGGCCAGTAGTTGATTTGTTCTACAGCCCCGTCACCCCTGATGGCTTTTTTCTTATCAGTGCCAGTAAAGGTATGGCTTTTAATTTTTGATTGATTTACACCAATTGGAAATTTGGGTTTCCTTTAGAATTTTGTTTTATTGATCATTTTGGTATAATTAGCTTTGCATTTGAATTCGTTACAGGAATGTTGAATTGGTTTTGAGTTTTTATTTTGAGTTCCTCTGTTCTAGATCATAATGGTTTTCAGCTTTAAATTTATTTATTGAATGTTTTCAACTGGCTTTTCTTTGACTAGTTATGTAGTAATCATTTTAGTCTCGTTAGATTGAACTGCAAACTCTTAAGTGGTCTTCTAGTTATGTGAATACAGATAGGGTGGTACAATGTTGAAGTAGCATTGCTTTCAGCTGGCGTTTAGCTATTCTTTTGTTGGAAGGAGCTGTAAGTTTTCGTTGTTCTATCACTTGAAATTGAATGATCATTTTGGAAGCAGGAAATCTAGTTTTTGATTGATCAGTTTGTGCGCGGGATTTGTTCTAATATTATTATGTTTATCATGTCTTCTGCCATAATCCATTTTATAGGTCATCTAGGTATATCAATTTGATAATTTCTTGCCATGTTAACATTTTTAAATTTCTATTTTTCTGAGAAGTCATGGTAGATGATAGTGATTGTATGTGGATTGACTCTATTTAGCTTCTCTGTTTATCAGCTCTGTTTCTAATGATGCATTGAAAATTCAGACTCCACTCCAATGTTAAGAAATGAGGAGACTGGAGATTGGATTGGCACATTTGAAGGGCATAAAGGTGAAGTATGGAGCTCCTGCCTGCATACCAATGCTTTGCATGCTGCATCTGCCTCGGCTGATTTTTCTGCGTATGTAATTTTATTCAGTAACAAAAATAATTTTTTGGAGGAAATTTTTTACCTTTCAAGAGATACCCAGTTCCACCTTTGCAACTTTTCCTCCAAAGCATTTATATTTTATCAAGCACTCTCCAGAAAAAAAAAGGGGACCTCATCCTTGTAGGCTACTGGGCTCTTTGTCCCTCTGTGAGGAGAAGTATGGTTATGAGGCCCCAAAGCTGCTCTTTGGTTGGCAAGTGTTTGGATGGTGTATATTTGTGAGTCTTGGCTTTGCAAATTGTTCTTTTTCTCCACTATGATGATCAAAAGTACTGCATATTGCCATTGGTAGGATGCTGTATTTTTCTTTATAATATAATATTGATCTTTTCCGGGATGCAATAATAGTATATACATATATGCAGCATGAGAACTCTATGCTGTATGCGATTGGTTATTTTGGTGTTTTAGAAATTTTTGTACTTGATAAGTTCAGTTTATTGACTTGTGCTAATCATATTAATGATTGAAAGATATTGACTGTAGGCTTTCTCTGAAGATCTCTTCCAAAATGACATAATTGCCAGAGTCGCTTACCTTTCTAAGTATAGAAAATAAGGTATTACATGTGTATTAACTATCAAAAGATGATATTAGCTTTTCTTTCTATTGTTACTCTCACATCTCTCTCTCTCTCTCTCTCATAGTGTCATTTTCAGCTAGTATGGTTAATTGGAAATTGGATTTATCATTTTCCTCCAATATTTCCAGGAAACTATGGGATGCATTGACTGGAGATGAATTGCACTCTTTTGAACACAAGCATATTGTTTGAGCATGTGCCTTTTCGGAGGTAGGGCTTACTTATTTTTCTATCATAATATTTCCTTTTTTTTTTCCTATTTGAACTATAGTCCTGCATTTAATGCTTATGTAGTGCCCATTGCAATGTTATTTAATGGCCTGGAAAACAAGTACTCTATCAGATTTGTTCCCCATCAGCGATTTAGATTGCAATCAATTTCTTCCATCTTGCACTTACTTCCTGGTTTATTAATACTCTTCAGTGAAGATAATTTTTTCTATCTTTGCCTGTCACTTTTGTCATCTGTTTGCAGCATCTGAGTAAATTGTTTTTTGTACAGGATACGCACCTTCTACTCACTGGTGGAGTTGAGAAAATTCTTCGAATATTTGATTTGAATCGTCCAGATGCATTGCCAAGAGAAGTGGATAATTCTCCTGGTTCAATTAGAACTGTTGCATGGCTCCACAGCGACCAGACCATCTTAAGTTCTTGTATGGATGCTCATGGTGTTAAGTATGAATACGTTCAACCGATATCACATTTCCTTGTTTTTCTCCCATTGGTTGCCTTAATTTCTTTTCAAGTTAGGAGCTGTTTTAGACAAGATGTTTCATTTGTCACAAGTGTCATATATGTCTTGAATTAGTATTGTGTCACTTGAGGACTTTGAGATAAGGTGTCTAATAGGTAGACTATTATCTGCTTGTGTTCAATTAGTTTTAATGGATGCATGGAAATTTTAGGGCACTTTGCAAATTATGCATCCTTGTTATAAAACATTCCTTGGGTCAGTTTACTTAGCTGAAGAAATTGCTGGTGCCACCATTTGGTGGTTGACTTCATAAATTGTTTTTCAGTATTGGGCCATATGGGAAGTTGTAATTTTTCTTGGACACTTGATTGAATTTAGGAAAGTAAAGAAAAAGAAAATGCGAGATTTGAGTTTTGGTTATTGGTAAAGTATACCAAATATTGATTGAAAATTATGTCTTCCATATTGGATTATTTGGTGTATTCTTAAACCTTAGATGCATTAGTTTATTAAAAATTAAATAAAAAAAATTGTGGTAAGATATCCATGTCGTGTCTTTATCTTTACTAAAACAGTGATTTCTTGTCTAAATGACTTCCTGAACCCTTGTTACCTCTTAAAATTGTACCTGTTTAGGTTGTGGGATCTAAGAATTGGCAAAATTGTTCAAACGCTAGAGACCAAATTACCTGTCACCAGTGCTGAAGTGAGTCAGGATGGTCGTTATATAACCACCGCTGACGGATCTACTGTTAAGTTTTGGGATGCAAATCAGTAAGTCTTAAGCTGGACTGCTTGTGCAAACTTTATTCTTTTGCCACCATGGCTGCTGATGCTTTATTTGCTCTTATTAGTTTTGGATTGGTGAAAAGCTACAACATGCCATGCAATGTAGAATCAGCTTCATTGGAACCAAAGCGTGGCAATAAGTTCATTGCTGGAGGAGAAGACATGTGGATCCATGTTTTTGATTTCCATACTGGAGAAGAGCTTGGTAGGTGCCTCTTGAGATTGTGGGATGAGCAGCAATATAGATGAAGACTATTTGTTTGGGACTTCAGTATTATCTAAAGCCTAAATTGGATCATTTTAGCATTGTCTTTGAATGACCATGTAGCTTTTTGACACCTCCATTACTTGGCAATATTTAGTTACTGCTTGATGCCATTGATAAACGTGTTTCCTAATACACCATGCCACAAAAACTCAAACGAAATGATAGATACGCTGCAAGTCAGAAAAAATCTGGGAAATATAAAGGGTGGATCCCATCAAAGAAGATGAGCTGTGTTTAAGTAGTGTGTGAAACTAATTGGATGATGTCTTCTTAACTGGAGTTTGTCAGAGTTCTAATTATGCTGTGCTTTATCCATGTAGGTTGCAACAAGGGTCACCATGGTCCTGTCCACTGTGTACGTTTCTCACCTGGAGGGGAATCCTATGCTTCAGGATCTGAAGATGGTACCATTAGAATATGGCAGACTGGTCCAGTGACTCATGAAGAGAATGATCCACTACCTGGACCAAGCGGGAAGGTGAAGGCTGTGGCTGACGAGGTTGCCCGTAATATTCCGAATGGCCTTCATATTGGCAGGGAAAGGAAAACTGGATAGAGGGATGAGGCAAGAGATGCGTGACATGGTCTTAAATTTGTCAAGGGCATTCAACAAGTGTTTGTTTCAGCTTGCTTTTCAGGTTGTACGATTTTGGGTGAGTCTTTTTGCTCGTCTTTTCTATGGAAATAATATCAATTTTCCTTTTGTATCTTTCTTTTCAGTCCAGTTTTCGATTTTTAAAAACCTATGAACCTTTGGTTTCCTTTAATGTGGTAGATGCTGTTAAAACTCTATGAAGTCATGGCAATATCTCGACTTCTAACAGATTTCCATCACTGATTCAGGGTTTTCAAGGCAGTATACTGAATTGAAACTTACTTTTCTACCTGACCTGGTCAATCTCTTTGGCAAACCAAACATTGGCCACACAAACTTCAAGTCCAAGCAGTTTTGTCCTTTTCCAAAGAGGTGGTGAAACCTCAGCTATTTTTCTGAGAACAGTTTTTAATTAGGACTGAAACAGAGACACGATGCCATGTTGCGAGCCAATGATTTACGACATTTGGTTTCCGATTTTGTTGTTTCTTTCATAAAATCTATATTGACACAAAATTTGCCAGAAGAATAAAAGAAAACACAGATTTTCTCAGCCATTGATTTAAAAAAAAAAAAAGAAAAGAAAATGTTGATCATGAAGCAAAAGAAAAGAGAGGTTTAAAAGCAGAGGCAGACTAGCCAAAATAAACTTTGGTTCCGAGGATTTAATTCAATAATCCGTGCGTGGTCCTTATATTGAAGATGCAAATCCAAATCAAATTAGTAATCAAAGTAAGACTTGCTGGCTTACTCTTCTCCTTTTATTTTTTGGTATCACTTTAATTTAATTTAATTACATTTTTCATCTAAAATTAATTCGTTTTAATCGTTAATTAGGCTAAATGTTGCAATTTTACACTCATGGGACGAATCTATACAGTAGCAGTGGAAATGGCTTGGCGCCGCAGCTGCCATTTCCAGATCCTAAAATTCTTTACAGCTTATTAAAATATTATTTTTATTTTTATTTTTATTCTCCAAACTTATACATATGATTTTATTTTATTTTCTCTATTTTATATTAGTTGTTATTCTATTTTTTATTTTCTTTTTATAGCATTTTTTAGTGAAACTGATGAAAATTTGACATTTGCATTAACATAAATTTTATTGAAATATTTCAATTTTGTTATTTTTGTCAAAAAATGAACTAAATAGAAATTATAATAACAAAATTTGTTATATGCATTAGAGATTAAGGTCAAATTTGCCATTTAAATTAGCAATATAATTTGTGAAATATTTTTTGTTACGTTTTCCCAAAAATCAGTAAAATTAAAAATACAATGACAAAATTTACCACTTGAATAACATAATAATCTGTGAAATATTAAGAGTTGTTACTTCTTATTAAAAAAGCAACAAAATTCAAAATAGGGTAAGAAAATTCAATAAAATTGAAATATAATAACAAAAATTCATTATTAAGTCATAATATAGTTGCAAATTTCACCTTAGTCTCTTGTCATTAATGCAATAATTCATGAAATATTTTAATTTCATTTTTTATCCAAAATTTACGAAATTAAAAATACGGTAAAAAATTTAATTAAATTGAAATATAATGACAAAATTAAATACTGAATAAAGTTTTTTTTATACATATGAGATCAAGGTTTAAAAAAAAAATTGAAGAAAGAAAAGTTACTAGTATTAGGAATCGAATTAAGCTTTGTTGGAAATCACTTCTTAAAAAAATGAATGAAGCGTTTTGATTAAATCTTAAATTCAAATATGTTAAATATAGTATTGTGACAAATTTAACCTTAATCCCAAAAATATTATTCCCGAAGAATCCCAAGCCACAACAAGGATCTCCACCCTTGTCAATTAAATTAACCCTTGTGGCTTTAATAGTGTTGGCTTTGTTTTCTCTTCTCAGCCGCACATAAAAAATTGAAACTCTGTCTCTCACACAATAACAATAGGGTCCAGTCCAGCCAGGAGACGTGTAGGGACTGTTGTTCTTTGCCTTTAGTTTTCTTTTGTTTCTGCCTCTCTGCATTTCCAAACCGCCAACTGAAAGAGAAAATTGCTGTTACGACACAACAATACAGACCCCGAGAAACGTTTTTCTGTTGTTGTTGTTTTTTTTTTTTTTCATATAAAAACTTCCGGAGAGAAAATCTCTCTGGTAACTCTCCGAACACTTTCATCTTCACACTGTGCACGTTTTAATTATTTATATGTGCATGTTAATGTAAATGTGTTTATATGTTAATGTACTTTAGTTTTGTTTGCGCGTGCATTGTTGCATGGTGAAGACCAGTTGAAGGATGACCAAGTCATGGCTTTTTCTAGGTTTGGAGATTGATGGAGTTTTTTTTTTTTTTTTTTTTATGTGTGTTGGCCAAGAAATGTTGTGTTTGGTTAATGGGAACGTGTTGAACAAAGAAAACGAAATTTGGATTAGTGAGTGACAATATAGCTAGTTGTTGTTTGGAAGATCAATAATGCAAAAAGAGTGATTCAAGTGAACCTGATATGAATGTTATTATTATTTTTTTAAATCACGGAAATATGGATATTTTTTACAAGGATAAGTCTTTATTATGAAACGGTTTAGATTACATTCTGAGTATTTGATGTTGTCATTCTCTCACAAAAGATTTCATTGGAAAAAAGAAAGAAGAAAATCATCTTATAATAGTTCTTTTATGATATGTTAATTTTCAGTGAAATTGCTTTAGTTCCAGGCTAGTAAACGAGTCCTTTGTTGAAAAGATTAAACTCTTTTAACTTCTTTAGTCTTTCTCTCGTTGACATCCTTTCTATCTATGTTTCCAAGAGACGTGCTCTGTTTTTTTCAGTCAAGTTTCATCTCGTCTTTCTATGAAGAGATTGATTTGTATCTTGTCTACTGTTTGTTTGTTAAATTTTGGGCCTTGAACTTCTAGAAAATAACATCAACCTGCCTCACGTTCTGTTCTTTGTTGGATGTTTCTTGCACCAGAAATGGAATACTTCAAAGCCCCTTTCAAGGGTGTTGCAAATGATGTGCGAGGAAGAGCAGCTTGCTACAAACAAGATTGGATTGGTGGTCTTCGTTCAGGGTTGGGGTACCTTTCTATTCTGATTAATTATTGTAAATTATGATACACTTATGTCTTCTTTTTTTTGGTTCGATATTTACTCTCTTATTACAGGATATTGGCCCCAACTACCTACATCTTCTTTGCTTCTGCTTTACCTGTTATCGCTTTTGGTGAGCAACTGAGTAGAGATACAGGTTGGTCACGTTCCATTCATGAAACAGTTTGCAGCCAGTATTTCTTTTCCTCTTACAGTATTAAAGTATTCAATGATGAAGTTGAAATTAATGTTCAACATATTTTTGGATGTAGATGGAAGCTTAAGCACAGTAGAAACTTTGGCATCTACTGCCCTTTGTGGTATTATACACTCAGTATTTGGTGGCCAACCTCTTTTGATATTGGGAGTTGCAGAGCCAACAGTTATTATGTATACCTATTTGTACAACTTTGCCAAAGGAAGAAAAGACTTGGGGCAGGAACTTTACTTGGCTTGGGCTGGATGGTAAAAGCAAATTCCATTTTTTATGGTTTCCATTGAAAATTTTGCGGAAGTTCTTGATCTTATAATATGTAATTTTTACAGGGTTTGTGTTTGGACTGCTCTCTTGTTGTTTCTTCTTGCAATCTTCAATGCTTGCACAGTAATTAATAGGTTCACAAGGATTGCAGGCGAACTTTTTGGCATGTTGATTACTGTGCTGTTTATTCAAGAGGCTATCAAGGTAAATTCTAATAAGAAAAATAAACCAACTGTTCGTCCATTCGTCCATGGCCCTGCAATTTCTATTTTTCTACTCTATAATGTTTAAGACCTTGCTGATGATCCAACTGCAGGGAGTAGTGAGTGAGTTTGCAATTCCCGAAGCTCAAGATCCAAAGTTAGAGAAGTATCAATTTCAATGGCTTTACACAAATGGACTACTGGGAATCATCTTCACGTTTGGCCTTCTCTATACCGCTTTGAAAAGCAGAAGGGCCAGGTCATGGTGGTATTTCACAGGTTTGTCAAATTTATAGTATTTGGTAATTGGCACTAGTATTAGCAATAAGCTGACATGGGATCTGAAAGATGTTAGTAATTTTCTACAGGGTGGTTAAGAAGTTTCATAGCAGATTACGGGGTACCTTTAATGGTTGTACTGTGGACAGCAATGTCTTTTACTATACCAAGGAAAGTGCCATCTGGGGTTCCCAGAAGGCTTTTTAGTCCTCTTCCTTGGGAATCTGTATCATTAGAACATTGGACTGTAATCAAGGTAACCGTATTCAGTAATTGTACATGTCTTAGATTTTCATTTAAAAAAAAAAATCAAGTCTTATATAGAAGTCATCGCATTTGTATTCATTTTGTCTCTTGGATTATGACAGTTGTTAGCCTTTGCATCTGTCTCTAGAGCTTTTGTAGTAATAAAAATGGCCATCCAAAAACAAACACTCATCAAAACCATTTGCTGGCTAAACAATAAGTTTAAGATATTGACCATGCAAAATAAGTGCTTGTAAGGCACATATCTGGCCGGAGCTAATAATCGATCGTTGAAAAGATTGAGTTAATAGTTATTCCTTTTCTAGTTAAAATGATCATGAAATATGTCAATTGACCTCAGTTTAAGGCTATTTGAGATCAATTATTGTTGTGCAAAAATGGCTTCAAGGTTGACTGTTTTAAATAATCAAATTGCAGGATATGGGAAAGATCCCTCCATTGTACATCTTTGCTGCCTTTATTCCAGCTGTGATGATTGCAGGACTTTACTTTTTCGACCACAGTGTTGCTTCACAGATGGCACAACAGAAGGAATTCAATCTTAAGAAACCTTCTGCCTATCATTACGACATCTTGCTGCTAGGATTCATGGTAAACCTTATGCTCAGACAATACTGCCATCCAAATTATGCACTATCTTATCATAGACATGTTCTACCGTCAAAACATGCTTGCAGACTTTGCTTTGTGGATTAATTGGCCTCCCTCCTTCAAATGGAGTCCTACCACAGGCTCCTATGCACACCAAGAGCCTTGCAGTTCTCAAAGGACAGGTGGGTAAATATATTCTAAAGGAAAATTTTCCATTAAATATATTGACCTGGCTACATGCTTGATTTCAGCTGATGTATGAAATGCAGCTAATCAGAAGAAAAATGGTGGAGACTGCAAAAGAAAGCCTAAAGCAGAAAGCTAGCAACTCTGAAATATATGGCAAGATGCAAGCTGCCTTCATTGAAATAGACAGCAGTCCAGAAGTAAGTTCTCTGATCAGTAATTGTTTCTCCAAGAAAGTGATCCTTTGGCTTGAAAATCTGATATAATGCCTACATCTGGCCTTAACTGTTCCTGTTACAGACTACAGTAGTTAAAGAGCTGGAAGACTTGAAGAAGGTTGTTGTGAAAGGAGATAACGAAGGAGAAAATGAGAAGGAAAGATTTGATCCTGAAAAGCATATTGATGCCTACTTGCCTGTCCGAGTTAATGAGCAGAGAGTGAGTAATCTTTTGCAGTCACTCCTAGTTGCTGCATCAGTATGCGCTATGCCTGCAATCAAGTTGATACCTACATCAGTTCTTTGGGGATATTTCGCTTACATGGCCATCGATAGTCTACCTGGAAACCAGTTCTGGGAAAGGATGCTACTTCTCTTCATTACACCTGGCAGGCGATACATGTATGTGGCATATCTCTTTTCGGTAACATTGCACATTTAAACATTTTGAAAGCATGATTATTCCATTGTGTATCTTTCAGCAATTTAGATTTGTAACAAAATCAGAAACTGCAAAGTTGTAAACAGAATGGACTCATTCGGTGGTCTTGATCTCTCGCTACGAGTACCTTGGTTGTTCAGAATATTTCTGTTTTATTTGACAATTGCTTCGCTAATTCCTGCGGTGCCTTATAATCACCATTGGCAGGGTCTTGGAAGGGGTTCATGCTTCTTTTCTGGAGTCAGTGCCATACAGATATATTGTGATGTTCACGCTGTTCCAGTTCATGTATTTACTTCTATGCTTTGGTGTGACTTGGATTCCTATAGCTGGAATCTTGTTCCCTTTGCCCTTCTTCCTTCTCATCAGCATAAGACAATACATTCTCCCAAAGCTCATTCAGCCAAATTATCTCCGGGAACTTGATGCAGCCGAATACGAGGAAATTACTGGTGCGCCACCAAGATTATCCCTCAACCTCTCTTTCAAGGTATTGCTATTGGTCATTCTGTTTCTTCAGCCATAAATTATATTAACATCAAAAATGTTTTTGCAAAGGCAAATAGCAGAAAGCAAAAGTATCAACTAAACAGAACTTAATTAAATATATATTTTTTTCAGGAAAATAAGACACCTTGTCCTGGCAATGGGGAGGATGGAGTTGAAATGTTGGATGCTGAGTTACTAGATGAGTTGACAACCAGTAGGGGAGAGTTGAAGGTCAGAACTGTTAGCTTCAGTGAGGACAGGAAGGGTCAGGTAGGATGTTAATTAGTTCTCTTCAATGAATTTTTATCTTGCATGATCTTCCTGTGAATTTATGAAGATAATCAACATTTTTTTTATATTTTTGTATTTTCCAGGTTTATCCAGAGGATGTTCAGAGAGAATGAGATGACATTAGATAGGCTGATAATTATGATAATGATAACTTTACTTATCTTCCAAGAAAAGAGGCATGAAGAATAATGCCTCTTCATTAATGTAAAAAAAAAAAAGGAATCATGGGATGGTGGCTGATGTAGAATTGTGTAAGAGATAAGAAGGATATGAGAACAACATAATAGATGTCTTCCCTTTTTTCTTTTTGAACTGAATCTGACAAACTCCAATTATCAAGTCAATAAGGTTGAGATTTGGGATAGGTTATGTTGGTTTGAAATCAGCAATAGAGAACTCAACCATTCTTTCCACTCCAACTATGTGAAATGCAAATCTATTTCCCTGAAAACCATAATACATAAATGCCATTTCACCCTAAATCAAGCAATTTCTCCCCAGAGGAAAAAAACAACAACTTCTTGTTAGAAAGAATGTACAGGATAATGCTTGTATATAGTGAGTAAAATTGATTTGAGATTAAAATTAATTATTAAAATAAAGTTAATTATTACAGTGATAAAATTAAAATCAATAATAAAAAAATATATTTAAATGCAAACGTAATAATAACGGTGAAATGAATCGTAATTAGTTTTAAATTGACAATGTTGTGGAGTAGGGGAAATTTGGTTGAAATGATTGCAAAGGAAAGATCACCCAAATTTTAACGGTATTGGTTCATCTAACTATCAGATACAAAGGCAAAATACAATAAGAACAAACTGTTTTGGTCCCTCACATGCCAATTGCCATTGGTTGCCAGCTTTCCCACCACCGAATCTATTTGAGGTTGTAGCTATTCCAGCAGGTTTTCAGCCAACCTTGTGCATGTTTCTTAACACTGGATTTTCGACCTTCTACGTTTCCTCTAGCAGTCCACAAAATTAAGCTGTGGCCAGAGCAGATCCATCCTTCTTTTTTTCTTCAATCCCATATTTTCTTAGGACTATATAAAAATCAGAGTACTTTTTTTAGGTTAACCCATGTCAAACAATTGAAAGAAAAAAAATGAAAAAAAAAATGTAGAGGATTATCTGGAAGATTCTATCACAAGAGTAATATTATTTATGTATTCTTAAAATGCATTTTTCCCATGAAAAACATGTATTACATTTTACAAGGAAAAAATATATCTTTATATATATATTTTTCTTTACAATGAATCTTTCAATCAAGACATGAAATAATAAGAATAATCTCCAAAAACAAAGATGCTTGTTGTTGATATGTGAACTAACTGTTTTCAGAAGTAAAATAGAAAAGAATATCATTTAAAGTTGCATTAGGAAATTTTGATGAATATGTCATTAAAAAAAAACATGGATGAAGTTCAACTTAGCATCGCCAATTCCAAAGCAAACCAATCATCATTTTGATCAATAACAATCAATTTTAGGTTTATTATCTTTCTGTCAAAATTAAATTAAAAAGTCACAGTTTACAAAGTATGCAATAAATTTACATTAAAAAACAATTGAGAAAACTTCAATTCAAGTGCAATGTACATGGTTAAAATTAATTCATGGATCATTAAATTTTTTTAAATTAATTATATTCTAATGATCATTATCTCAACTTTTTATCACTATTATTAACAAAAAATACACATATTTAACACCAACCCGCTGACATAACCCAATTTTTCTTTTAAAAAATGATACATCTTATATAAATATATAAAATCTAAAATTTTTAATAAAAAAAGAAATAATTTGAAGTAGATAATCTATATTTTCGACATGTGAACAATTTAAAAAATTGACATGTATTTAAAAGTAATTACGCATTTAAAATTTAAAATTTAATTTTTTAAATGATTAATTGACTAAAATAAATTAAGAACCAAACAAAAAGTAATATAATCTTAAATTGAGAGTGATTTATACTTGATAATTAAAATAGTCAAGTATAATATGTATTCAATATGTTTGGGAGAAATGAAAAAAGAGATTTTGAAATTAATGTAATAATGATAATAAAATTAAATTTTTATTAAATAATAGTTTTTATACATTCCATAAATTACTCTCATTACTTCTATTTTTAGTTTTTAGTCAACTTATTATAATAAATATTAAATAACTTGAACACCTTATTAATCTTATATCTTATCTTATACAAATATATAAAAATCAAAGCTTTTGACAAAAAAGGAAAATATTCAATGTGGATGTTCTATTTCTTACACATGTATAATCATCAATGAATGCCATGCATCATGTTATAAATACATTTTATTTTATCTTATTTTATTTCATGCATTTTTAATTTTTTTAAAAAAATCAATATGTTTAGTTTGATTTGATTCATTTGTAATATAAAAAAAGCAAATTTATTTAATTTAGATTATTACATTTATTCTCTTTTAAATAGTCATTACTCTTACCTTATATAAATAAGTTTCAATTTAATTTTAGTTAAAGTTAATTATTTTTTTACCTTAAATCACATTCAATTAAATTTTATTCTTAATTTTTTACACGAACTTTAACATTATAAACAAAAATATGCTTTTGTCCATTAGAGATAATAGTATTGGACGATTGTTCTATAATTCTATTATGTTCCATTTCTCTTTTTTCTTTGTTTTTTATTTATTCCATTAATATGTTTCTTTTATTTTATTTGTTTTATTCCTTTTTATTTCAAAGTGTGATTTCTTTTATTATTTTTTAATATTACAATTTGCTTTTTAGCAAAAAAAAAAAAAAAACTAATCTGGTTTTAGTTTTTGGAACAATTAGTATAATACACAAATATGTTAATATGTCTTAGAAAATAATATAAAATGGCTTGCTTTATTTTATCTTTAAATTTAATTTTTAGTTTTTTTTATGAATTAATTTATAACTTTTATGTGTAAATGTATATATGTATGCTTTATGATTAATATTGACTACAACGTTTTACTAGCTTTTTTTAATTGCTAACAAGTTGTTATTAGAAATATGTCTAACAAAGCAAAGTTAAATGAGGATTTAAACCTATCAAGAAATTAAGAGTTAAGAATTGATTATTTGAATGATTTATACAACAAATATAATATTACAATAATTTCCTTATAAATAACCAATGCTTTTGCCTTTTATGAATAAGTTACAATTCAACTTGTAATTAAAATTTAATTTTTTATTATTGTTTACCTTAAATTGCTCAAAATTAAATTATTTTCTTAACTTTTAGCATTCAACATTGACACTACATAAGAATAGGAGTTTGCTTTGATGTATTACTATTTAATAATTAATACTGAAAAAAATTTAAATTTAAATTATTGACAAAAGAACAAATTTTAATTTTATATATTGTCTTTCTAATATTACAATACTAAATTAAATGAAAGATTTATTTTCTATCTCATGAGAAAAGAATTTATGCTACTTCCAATTACTTAATTCATATAAAAATATATTTTAAAAAATTATTATCTATCAACTATTTGACATTCTAATAAAAGCTTATAAAATTTAAAAAACTATATAGTCATTAAATTAATAACTATATATTTTTTATAAAAAAATTTATTAATTCATTTAGATAAATTTTATCCTACATTAAATTAGTATTGCGTATTTTTGATTTGTTTTTTATATTATCTAATCTTTTTTATTTATAATGTAGCTTCAAATATAATTTTAAAATATATGTTAAAATATATGTACATATCAGCAGGAAAAGTAAATGTGTTTGCTAATAAAATTTTTTGATTTTATTATTTAATGGTTAATTGACAAAGATAAATATTAGTGGACTGACTGCAATCAAATTATTAAATTTTTTTAAAGTATAAAAAGAAAATTTTTAAATTAATTTTAACATATACTTTTTAGATTATAAATTCTCTTAATATTTTTATTTGATTGATGAATTCAAAAAATTATTATTTTAAAATGAGTGATTGTCCAATCCCAAATTAATGTTATATTTTTATATTCTTTATCACACATTTTACACTAAAATCCAAATCTTTTCTTTTAATTTTAAGTTACAAAACCTAATACATAGTTTGATGGAAAAAATAAAGACAAAATATGCTTCCTCATTTTAAATGTAATTTTGTATGGAGAAATTTTTATATTTTGATTTTAAATTAAAATAAATAGAACAACAACATATAAATTTAATTAAAATAAATATAATATTATCATATTAAACTTAATTAATTAAAATAATTTTATAAAAAAATAAAAATCTCATGCATCGCATGGATTACAAACTAATCCGAAGACAAAGTTAGATTCAAATTAGACATGTGTCAACCAATCAGGAGTCTACAGATGAAAATCCATATTTTCCAGTAATATTAATGGTTTGAAGCATATGACTCACTGCAAATGGGTCAAACAATCAATAACATTTGGAGATACTCTTGGGTTTCTTTTTTTTTTTTCTCCATTTTATATTTTATCCGTTTATACAATTGGAAGAACCAAATTACAAATTCAAAAAGCATGTGAAACGGAATAAGAATGTTCAAGTTTAACAGAATGCAAACAGTGAAAAGTAAAAAATAAAATTAAAAAATAAGATCAAATACCAATAGATTAAAATGTAGCATCAAAATAATTTAAAAAAAAAAAACAATGCATGTAATCCTAACATTGAACCTTAGTGATTAAATATGTGAAAATACCATTTGAGATTCTATAATTTGTTGGCAAAAATGACAGGCGAAGCTCCATTATGGAGTTTTTTTCCCAAACCCAGGTATTTTTTAATTTTAATTCTTTATCTAGAATATTTTTAAACTTTATTCTCAAGCACAGATACTTTCACTCAATTAAATTCCAAGTCAGCATTTTTTTCCACGTCAGCTTATTCTTCCTTCACTCCTCCCCCTCTCTCTCTGTGCAGGTTACACCTGTAGATTATAGAAAACTCCTAATCCTTCGCCGGCGCCATTTCTGATAGATAAACTGGAATAGACTGCCATGGGCAGAGTGATACTTGAGTCTTATGAGAAGGAGAGTGTAGACGTGATGATAATAAAAAGGTGAGAGGAATATCAAAATTAGCAATCCAACGCCTACAGCAAGAAGCACACAACCGATGATAGCCATTTCAATATCCTACCAGCACCATTCATGATAGCAGCAACGAAACAAACCAAGACCTCCTAAACAACAAACATTGTTTTCACCAAAATTCCTCGTCATTGCAAAAACAAAGAAGAAAGATTAAGAATACCCTTATTTAGGAATAATGATTTTATTTTATCTCTGCAAGAAAAAACTCCTCCATTATGATCATTCAATTGAAGTAAATGCTAATGCTAATAATAATAATAATAATAATAATAACATAAGCAAAATAAAAGAAATAATGTTCAAAATATTAAACAGGAATGAAATTCTACAATCAGAGTTTGGAGCCCTAACTTAGGCAAATTAGGGAAGAGATTAAGATTGATTGACTAACACTTTTTGCAGCTTGAAGTGACGAAATGAAGAAAAATGAAAAGAACACTTGCCTCCAGTTTCAGGTTTTTCTTTGTTTTCCTCTCTACCTCAACAGCCCAGCGAGAAAGAGTGTGGAAAACAAGCATAATGCTGCCAAATTTTGCAGAGTTTTTTTTTTTTTTTTTGGTTATGAAAAGTGTATGAAGAAAAAAAAAAAAACAAAGAATCCAAAAAAGAAGAATGAATGAACCTCCTTGATTGTTTTTGTTGTAATAACTCTAAAGCACAACACAATTAATGTTAAGATTTATATTTGATACATTATCATATAAAGATTTTATTTATTATCAATTAATTATTTTATTAATTTGGTGAATTAAATGATTATATTTTATTATTGATTAAAATTTTTAAAAAATTAATTTTTATATATTTATTTTAAAAATTGATAATAACTCATTAATAAAATATTATCATTTAATTTATTAATAATATTTAAATTTTATATATTAATAATCATCAAATAAAACTCTATATGTTAAGGAAAAGAAATGACATTAAGTAGATATAATAATTTAAAATATGATACGATGATATGATATAAAAATAATATTAATAAAAAAAATAAAAATAACAAGATTTAAAATTTTTAAAAAAATTATAAATAAATTTAATAAAACAAAAAAATATACTTTTTATTTTTATATCAATATAAATCATTACATATAATTTTTGTATAAAATATAACATAAATATAATATTTTATATAATACAATAATATGAATTTTAACATTATATCAAACAAGACTAAAACCAAGCCATATAAATTGACTTTTAAGAAGGTTAGAAGTCAATCACATAGAAGTTTGTAGATAAAAATAATATTATGTTAAATTAGATTGTAGTTGTTATAATTTTTTAAAAGTTTCCTTCTTCCAAAAATATTATTGGCTATTCTTAAATATATATTTTTACTTTTATTTTACAAAAATAAATAATTAATAATAAAATAAAAATTAAAAATCATAAAAAATTTTCCAATAATTTTCGCTCATAGAAAGCAAAAATAACTTTTGTCCAAATAATTAATGAAAAGAAATTTAATATTCCATTCATAATCGATAGAAAATTTGATAATTGATAGGAAATATAAATAAATTTTGGGGATGGAGGGAAATCTCCCTCCCTTGACGAATCCGTCAAAGTCCCCATTTGCACTTTTCCGCGACAGCTTACCTTAAAACGCTCACCCATGCTTTCCACCTGTCCTATCTTATCCAATTTCTCTCCCTTTACCAAACTTACTCAATCTCCTACATCCGCTCCTATCGTAATCCCTCTAACCAACCTCCCAAATGGCCAAATATTTTATACTGTCGCCACATATCGTAAAAAGTCCCAACGAGCCTAAACTTTTAGATCGCAGATGATAATTCCCCACCTCCATTCAGAAGAAGTAATAGAGGAGTTTTTTTTACTCTCCATTTACCAAAAGCCTTCATCTTCTTTGAGAGATTCTCCATTTTGTCATGGCGACAGCTCTTGCATGCTCTTTCTCAACCCCAATCCGGGCCTCATCCGGATCACTTAAAAAACCGGATCCAAGTCGTAAAAAACACGTTTCTTCCTCCTCCTGGTGGAGCCCTCTCTTCGGGTGGTCTTCCAACCCCGATTACCTTAACGATAGCAATGCTGGTCATCCATCGGAGAGCAAGCCAGAAGTTTCCGATTCTGAGTCGGGTTCGGGTCGATCCAGATCCAGATACACGCTCGGGTGTTTCACCGAGGAGAAGGCGAAGCAACTCCGAAGAAAGACGATGGAGAACGCGTCGTTTCACGATATGATGTACCACTCGGCGATCGCGTCTCGTCTGGCGTCCGATGTCTCGGCTTGGCCTGAGAAGTGATTGAAGCCTAATAATTGTCGGGTACGGGTCAAAATACTTTGTCGAAATGAAAATCTATGTAGAATCCTACGTTCCTTTTTTTTTAAGTTCGTTGGAATTCTAGGTAATGTTTCTGTCAGGTGTGAGCACAGACGATTGATTTTGTTTTGTAATATTGATTTTAGACCGTTGGATCGTTGATGCATTGTCTTTTTGGCTATGCTCTTCTGATTTCATTTGTCGGTGAACTCCTTCCGTCGTCAATAAATTTGCAATGAGTTTAAATAATGGTGAATATTTTGTAAAAATGTTCGAAGTGATATATATAGTGATTGTTTTGTAAAAATGTTAGAAATGATATATGTGGGAATTATTGTTCCAATGGAATTGTTTTTTTTTCCTTTATTGTTTGACAAGGGTTTTGGGATGGTATCATATGTTTTTTTTTGTTTGACAAGATTTTTTGAACATTGTTGCTTAATACGGGTTGAAGTGGGTTGATTGTTAAGTTTTTATTCTGTTATTATTGTTTTTTCCTTTTATTTGTCTATGATGTAGTGTTGTTTCCTATCAATTTTTTTTTTTTACTTTTTGTCTATTTTTTAGTGTTTATGATTTTTTTTTGTTCTTTAATGTTTCGATTTGATCATGAGTGTTATTGTTTTGCTTTTTCTTTTTTTTTTCTTTTAATTATTTGATAGTTTGGTTTATTAAGTAATAGATTTTAATTATGGATCCTGTTAATGAGGCAAAGGAGAATAGAATTAAGAGATTGGAAAGGTTGAGGCCTAATAAGTTGAAAAGGTAGCAAGGTAAAGGTAGAGGAATTGTAAGATGTAATGATATGCATATTGGTAGAAAAGAACCTTTAAATGTGGGTGCTGATTTGGTGAAATCTGCCAATATTATTTCGAGTGATGATTTTGTTTACTGTAATGAAAAAAATTAGTATCAGTATCATATATCCCTACATTCAAAGGTTGATATTAAATAAAGAATTAGAGATGATTATGGTTGAATCATCTAGGTCTCTTATTTTAAGAGACTAAATTACTCTTTTTCAAAAAAAAAAAATTTTGGTTGATATTGGATGACTCAACGAGTTGTTCTAATTGTGGTAGGGCTTCTGACAAGCATTTTGTTAATTTTCAAATTGATTTTTTTAAAATAGTTGTTTGTTGTGAGATTGCTTTTTTTTTTTTTGCTTGGTTCTTGATTTTTGTTAGCTCAAAGGATTGAATAAACCAAAAAATGGGTGAATTGATTAATTATAAATTTTGACAAAGTTGAATACCAATTAACATAATAATCACAAATATAAATTTCCAAGCAAGTCAACACAATATATAAGCACAAAAAAAAAAAAACTTGGAAACTAAAAGGTAAAATTGGAGAATCAAACACCTGTATTTATAGAGGTTCCAATCCTTTCCTCAAGGCACTTACATTCTCATTCCTTAACTTCACATTACCCATAAAGTTCAATCCACTATCAAGTTTTGAATTGGTTACACAACATAGCTATCTTTTCAAGCTCTATTAAATCAACAATAATACTTTTTAAGGGTTATCTTCCCTTTTAAGCTTATAATATCACAATACAAATCTTTAAGTATATTGCAAACTGTAAGACCTCTTTAAGATTAGGTGTTTGCTAATTTGAAGTATAAATGAATGATACAAAAGATATCAAAAGAAAATTAAGTAGATTTTTTTGCTTTTTTTATACAATAAGATGCTCTTTAATGCTTGAAAAAGATGGAATATAGAAACAATAAATTTTCTTAGCTCTTTATTATTTGTAATCTGGTGAGAGACCTCTTTTTATATGTCGAAAGGTGAAGAGATCCATTGGTTCCATTTTATGCTTGAAGCGTTTACAAATAACAAGAAAAATATGACTATTCAAGCTTGTCAGGGTTAAACCGATCGATCCCTTTTTGGAGAGGATTGATTGGTTTTGGCCTTTTAAGCTAAAACAATTCAAATCATTTGTAGAACCAATCAATGCTATAAGGTAGGGGATTGATTGATTTTCAACTTTTTGACAATTTTGCTTTTTAGATAAAAATACAATCGATCTTTACAAGGAGGAGTTCAATCTTGTTTTGAAACCCTTGAACCAATCAGTTTTGTATGGTAAGAGGTTGATTGGTTTTTGTAATTTTGAAACAAGAAAGCTTTCTGGGTAAAAATAGACTGATCTTATGCAAAAAGGGATTGATCTATTATTTAAGGGGATCACTCATGTCTTTTAGGGGATAGATTCATTCTTTCCATTTTTATAGAATATGTTTTTAAGTTTGGAAAGAAAATTACTTTTTTACAAAAGTATTTTTCACTTGATAAAATACTAGAAAATAATTCTTTTTATTCAAAACAATTTATTTCAATTTTAGCAATACTTGTTTTGTCATTTCAAAATAAACATTAATTCAAGACTAATAATCTCCTCTTTTTTATATGATGAAACCAATAGAAAATTTGAAAACTTTCTTTGAAAACATTTTTCCCTTGAAAATTAAGCTCCTCTTGAATATAAACACAATTAACAAAAATAAAGAACCATTTTCATCAAGCTTTCAACAAGTATACTTAGTAAAAATCCATCCATTTCATTGTTAGCACAATAAGCATTTATCAAAATATCAAGAGCATTTATAAAACATAGGCACATGTAATAACAAAAGTCATTTTGAGTACAAGCTTATCAATATCAATTTTCTCCCCCTTTTTGTCAATTATTCCCTTTTTTGTTATTAGTAAGAAATCACATATATAAGCTCTAATTCACATATTAAAGGTCTCCCTATTGATATTAAAGATGTCACACCTTGACACCAAAATGTAATATTGTCATATTACCTTGAAGTAAAATCTTAAAATAATATGAAACTTTATTTCTTAATCATTCAACAACTTTAAATAAAATAAGGTTTTCAATAAATAAAAATAACTAAATAACAAATCTCCAAAGGTTTACAGTCGAGTATTACAACTAAAAAAAACAATCTTCATAAAATCCTAATTTCTAAGTAGTTTTCCAATGCTTAATTTTTCTAGCTCCTCTCAAGACTAATCATAATTATCATTCATATCATCTATAAAAGAAAAAAAAAAAAAGAATGAGCAAACCACAGTTCAGTAAGTAAAGGCTCACACACCTTACTGAATTAAACATCATTTTCATATGTACTTTATATAGATCATTCTAAAAATTTTTTATCAACTCATAATGTCAAAAATAGTTCAAAATCAGCATTCTGTTAAGCATTCATAGATCATAATTTAGTATCAAACATGTCACCAAATCATGGATCAATTTATAAAATCATTCATCACAAACCATCATTATCATTCATTTATTGTTAGCTTTCACTGTTATAACTCGTGATATTAGTCGTATTGACAATTTTATCCTCATAATTATTGCTAACTATTATAACCCACTAGTTAGAGCCTTACGCTAACTGTTATTATCCATTAGCTAAGGTCATATGATCATGTCTTTGCTAACTACTATTACCCATTAGCCAGGGTCATAGAATTAGTTCTGATATCGATGATCTCACTTCTTAGGGATGTAAAAACGTAGCATCATAAAATCATTTTCTTATTTCATTCATATGCATTATCCATCATTTATATAACAAAAACAGAAAATATTCACATGTCTGCTCCTATTCATACATAAAAAATAATGAAATCAAGCATTCGTTCATTTAAAAATATACATATATACATAGATTTGAAAACAAACAAAGTATATGAGATTTTACTTACCTCATTCCGATTCCACCACCTAGTTTTTCTTTCCAAATAATTAATGGCATATTCAAGATAATTTCAACATAACAATAATTAATCAACCTATTTAAGATCACTTATACCAAAACAATTAAGTTAAGCAAGAAATAACTTGAGTAACTAATTCTGGCTGCCTGCACTACTTTCACTAAAATGATCATATCTCAAGATATCCAATTCGGAATTAAAATCTTTTTAAATGTTAGAAACTAGACTTGACAAGCTTTTTAACCATGTATGGCCCATCTCGTGATTCCTTGTGGATTAATTATAACAATTTTTGCAATCCACATCATTGCTGTTGCTAGATAGTCAGTATACCTTCTTATAAAAATTACGTATTTATTCATAAGAAACTCCAAATTCAATTATGCTTATTTCATTGGAAAGTAGACTCAATAAGTTTTTCAAACATACATGGCTTAATCTGTAAATCATTGTATAAAAATTAAGAGGAATTTCGTAATTCCTCCCTACTGCTGTTATTAGGCAGCCTGCACATCCTTAGTTAAAAATTAGATAACTCTTCATAGAAAACTCGAATTCAACTCTCGTTTGTTTCATTAGAAAGTAGATTCAACATGTTTTTCAACGATATATAATAACCATAATGGTATTCAATCCTTTAATACAGAATATAATCTTAATCCATCACTGCAAACATAGGGTTCATATTAGGGTTCATAAGAAATACAAATTTCTTTTTTATTCCCATCAAATTTTTGTTTCAG